GTTAAGCCATATATCTGCAAATCGTGTTTGCACACGTTAAGTCTACTGTGTTTAGTTGTTGAGTTCCTCAGGATTAAGCTTTGTTGTTGTTTTTTTTCTCATGATCCCGACTCAGGCCGTAAACATTGACGTAAATTATTGTCTACAATTTTTGGTTTGCAGACAGCTCTCACCACAGTATGAATTGCAATTAAAATATTTGTGATTATAATAATCATAGTTCACTGTGAAATGGCAAAACAATTTACGTCATATTCAGAACAATTCATAAGATGTACAAAAATTGGAAGGGGTGTGAGATTATAAGATTAGTAGGCAAATCGAATGCCATGAAAACATTACGTATCATTGTTTTATTCGTTTTATCGATTGTTATTTGATTAAGAGTATATTGATAAACACGTTATCTCATTTCATATTGTTACTACAACTATTATCACCTTTTGTTGGAGTTTTCACATGGGATAAAGTTTATTATAGTCACATATTTATATACTAACGTAAAGCTTGATAATAGATTCATTGAAAAGAGTCTCCTCACTGAGTATTGTATTGTATAACATTGAAATGAAATGTGCAATCTGCTATCAGCAGAAGCATTTCTAGTGGGTCGTAGACTTTTATCAATAGCCACCTTCACTCAGTACTCAAGATCACCAGATGGACAACCAGACAAAAGTAAGCAACAGGCAATTATGGCGACCATCTAACCAAGAAACTATTGTCCAGGAAAATATGCAGAATGAAATGCAGATGATTTCAACGCACATTAAAGCGACAGTTGAAGGACACCCCGCTACAGGTTCGGCTGAAGCAAACTTCAGACAGTAGGGTGAAACGGAGATGTGCTATAGGAACCGTATGTTTCACTCGAAACCAAGAGAAATAGCAATATTAGTAACTGTTATTACGAAAGCCTAAATCAAGTAGTTAGTATGTATCACAGTGTACCGACTGATCACAAAAGCTCATGCATTATCAAAAAACGAATGCTCATTCCACTATTGAAGACTTACTTAAGTAACCCGCATATATAGGTGCTAAAGTATTTGCATCACCAAATCCTAAGGGAAAGTGTCTATTATTGTAAAGATTTATAAATTCTGAAGTAGTGAATTTAGGATAGCGGAAATATTCAGTATTTACAATCCCCTTAGGGAACGAGTACAGTGCAAGGATTCAACACCACATCTTAATTTCGTTCTGTTATCTGCAGACCTATTCAGCTAGCGAAAAGACTGATTACCGTCTCTCATTTCCGTCATGCCCGATCACCACTAGGTCACAATGGGACCACAGCGAACCCCTTATTCTCGTGTTCGAATTTCACCCAAAAGCCTGAAGGGTACTGATACTCCACCACCTCCTCAAAATATATCGGAGCCACTTCCATTTTCCTTCACATATTCCTTGTTTGGTTCGCTCACAGATTTTCTTGTTGCTGATTCTATCCAGCCGGCCATTTGATATTCAGTATAGGGCCACCGGTTGATAAAATTCTACACTAGCCCGTTAGAAATCCTTATCGTGACCTGTTTTCCATGTTTCTGACCCATACAGTTGCAGTGACTGGCTTAACATTGGTGTGGAAAATCCGAAACTTGTTGTATATGCTGAGTTAGTGCAGAAGACTTCCAAAGTGATTTCAGGGTTTTTGAAGGACTATCTTGAATTCTCGATCCTTGTTTCGACAACCTCATCCGTGCTATTACCTGTAGTTGTAACGCTGCTGCCCTAATAAGTGAGAGCAGTGACCTAGTTCAAATTTCCCCTGTTGGTAGTGATTGGTGCTGGTTGTTGTTGGTGGTGATGTCTGAGTATCTTCATCACCTCCGTCGTTTCCATGGTCACATGAAATCCTTTATCCATTTCCTGCCTCTTCTACCACCTCGTTTGCTTTTGCCTGTAAGTTTTCGAGTTTGTGTGAAATTATACACAAATCGTCACCGGGATGCATATCTTATTGAGTCTTTTTATCTGTCTAATGTATTCCTGCCTTCTCACTACCCGTAGTCTTCTTAATAATCCGGTCCACCACAGTTGAAAACATTATCGACGATAACCGACATACCCGCCTTAATCTGGTATGCACTTCGAACGCCTCGCTGAGTTTTCCAGTGTGGATCACTTGACACGTGGCATTGTCATGTGGCCACCTGTTGAATGAAGTTGATGAAGATTTGAATCACAGCGCTCCATACTGTTAAATTTGTTTCCGAATCACTTCGAAGTCAACGTTATTGAATGCCTTTTCGAAGTCGATTAAGTTGAGAAAGAGGATTGACTGTCATTCTTTGCTATGTTCGATGATGACGCGTAGAGTTACAATTTGACCAGCACATGATTTGCCTTTCCTGATACCAGCTGGTTCCATGTTGCCGGAGTTCTCTATCCAGTGCATCTTTCATTCTCTCCAGGATGATGCGACTTAGTATTTCACTTGACATATATGGACAAGAGCATGATTCCACACCAGTTCTTGCAGAGGCGAAAGTCGCCCTTCTTTGGCACCTTGACAAGGTAGCTAGCCTTTCTTCCAATCAGTAGGCACCTTTGCTTCGTTCTCTCTAAACTTTCGCAACAGTGGGGTGAGCACATCTACCTCAGTCTCTGAGTCTAATTTCAGTGCTTTGGAGGGAATTCCACCTGCTTCTGTGTCCTTATCGGACTTTCAAAACTTTATCACATGCAAGACTTGTTTGGGATTGGTGTATACTGGCAGTTCATCGCGTGCTGCTGGTGATATTGCCGGGCGAGTTGCAGTGATAGTCGATTCAAGAGTTTCTTAAAGTGGTCAGCCCATTGTTTTATTTGTTTCTTCGCCTTTGTAATTAGGTTTCCTCACAAACATAGGTTACCTCAGTGATGCAACGTAGTCTCTCCAACTTTGATCTGGCGGTTGCAGTTTTTTTTAGTTTCATCTTTCAGTTCCCGAATGTTGAACTTGAACTTTAACCTGTTTCCGGTTGTTCTGAAGCCATTCAACTTGATCTCGGAGGTTCCTTGATGACGGTGTGATTTTACATTTAAGGTAGTCTTTCAGCACTATGAAATCAGCTATGAAGTCTTCTGCGCTAACTTTGCATAAATAACAAGGTTAAGTCAGTCACAGCATATGTGTGTGTCAGAAACATGGCGTGCGCGTCACAATAAGCATTTTCAATAGGCCACAGTTGACTTTTATCAACAGGTAACTTCAGTGACTGCATACTGAATATGAGATGGCTGGCTGGAAAGAATTAGCAACAAGAAACATTGGAAACTAACCAAACAAGGACTTATCTCCAAGAATAAATGTAGAGATAATCAGAGATTGATTGGAAAGTCGAATTACATGGCTCCTTCATCCCATAGCACTATTGGAGCCCAGATGAAAGTCGACAGGTTTATCCTGCTAATTTTAGTTAAAGGAGATCGTGTAAGATTGAAATTAGCGACTATGGGCAGTCATGTGCCCACCCCAAGAAGAAAGACGGAAGAATATCTAATGAAGTGGGGACACGCTGCTAAAGCCTTATATTGCACTTGGAACCCCAGGGAACGACAATAATAATGATGTGGTTCAATGGTGGAACAATCGCCTGTTCCTTAATTTGATTCCCAACTGAATAATCCTACAGCTTGCCAGGATGGTTCTAAACCTAGTTAAGATTATAGGTTGGCATGACGCTATCAACTCCACCCCGAAGAAATTAAACCAAGACTAGTGAAACCTCATAGCTAAAACCTGAAGCCCTGAGTGCTATTGGATGCTTCCGCTTTGTGTTACGCCTTAAATAGATAAACAATCTTACATAGAGAAGCAATATGATGATTAGGATTACGTCACCTTGGTGCTTAAAATAAAACGTATCTGATATCCTCTGAATGAATCTTTAGGTGTACTGTTTAGTTCGACCCAAGTATAAGTATTATCGATTTGCATCTGAATTTTCTTCTAAATTCGTGTACTTTGATTGAACACCGTCCTTACCATTTAATAAGTATCGTCAGTCAGCTTCCCAGCTTATTCACTAAACTGGAAGATTCATTATGCTGGCCCACCCTGAGTTTATGTTAGACAGATGGAATTAGTCAGTAGAAATTGATTTGATTGAATACTAGGTGGTAAATGAGTACTGTCATGGGTCTATTCCTTTGTTTGTCGCCAATTGAGTTCTATCAGTCAGGTTTGCAGTTAAGCCACCTTTGGGTAGTTGTTAGTAGATGGTCAGAAGAAATCCGGGGGAAACCAGACCTGACCTAGGTTTTGAGCTAGTTGGCACTCGTTAGAAAGACGTATCTACAACCCTGAAGGTATTCATTTCCTTTTTCGACTCGAACCTATTTCACTGAGTCCTGCAGTCAGAAACACTTTCAATGATGTATCTAGGCTCACGACTGACCTTGTGTAGGAATGTTTTTGGTCATGCGTCCGGTCCTTTGTTTGAAGCAGAAAAATTATTTCCCTCAAGCTTGTAATGTGGTCGTCATGCTGAATGGTTCGTCACCACTGTGCACACTGAATAGTTGTTATTAGTTTGTTGGAGGCAAACAGCAGGAAGCCTCGCCTGACCTGGATTTTGCGCTTGTTGGCTGTCGTGAGCATTCCTAATTTCCAGTGGAAGCTCCTCTTGATATCCCACTAAATAGCATCAGATTTACAAATCTCAAATGTGGTTCTATATATTACCACTTCGCCTAAATTAGCTAACCAGAATTTAAGAGGTTTGAAGTAATGTAGCTGTCAGAACTGAGTTAAACTACATAAAGTGCTGAAGAGCTTAGCATCAAAGCAATAAAACGGTTAGCTGATGTTTGGGTCACTTTAAAGTCTCTGGCTACAAGACATGATGTTGACTACCAAACACTTTCGTTACTTAAGTATACATCAAACCTTTACTCACAGAATCATCAAACTTTTAACGAAAATAGAAAATAGTTTTAAGAAAAAACATTTTATTGAAATATACACAGACTAAGAATGTAAATACAAACACAATTTAATTGTTTAAATTTTACTAAACAAGTTCTGACCAATGCAGTATATAAATAAATCCAACTAATAGCTGTAAGCCAATAAGACAAGCTGCAAACAGTAGAAACATTTTTATCATTGGAATGTACCTCTCTGTAGAATCAGGACATCTAAAATTGTAAAACAAAAAAAAACGTTAGAAAACAAAATCAGATAACATATGAAATAATCTCATTCTTATCTGTTATTTGTATGACAAACAGAATTATTTTGACATTAAACACAACAATGCAGTGGGAAATGTTTCAAGTTCCAATAACTAAAGCTTAAGATGAAATGCGAAGTCTTCTGATCACTTGAGATAGTAATCTTCAAATGAACTACATCAACTCTTAGCTTCAAGATAGGGAGTAAAGTGGTTGAGTGAGTTGACCACTTCACCTGTTTTCGGAGTTGCATTAACCCCAGCAGATTGATTGCTGCTAGAGAAATCTCAGTACGGATGCAGAAGGCTCATTTTGCATTTGTTACCTAAGTTCATCTCTAGCGTAGACGTAATATACAGTTGGCTACCAATCAAACGAATTCTATGCTGCTCACCAGTTCGTCCATCCTCTTTTATCGCTGTGAAACATGATGGAAATCAATGTGGAAGATATGAAAGGGCTAGCTGTCTTTGATAATTAGTGTATCCGTTATATCCCGCATGTCAATTGGGCGTGAAGTGTTAGGTAAGGAGAGTGAGTCAGTCGATAAGGTTGTAAAGTTACGTGGAATGACATGGCTAAGAGCGCAATACACATGCTCTAGCCGTCACCTCCGACTAAGGGGAATTTCGGCTGACATTGGGTTGATAAGCTTAGAAAACGGTTAGTGGTGGTTAAACCAAAACTTGGAACCAGTCCATGAAAATATTTAACAGTTAGTTTACCCCAGCTATGTAGGGAGGCATGGAGTACCAGACTGGTTAGGGTCCTTGTGATTTCAAGAACGGATAAGTGGAGATAATTGACGATTTGGCTCAAAATCGTTCTTGGTGATGGCGCAGATGTATTTACTCTCAGTCAAATGCTATATCCAATAAAACCCTATTGATCTTCCATGTAACTACCCTTTCTTCCTCACATTTCTGCATACTATTGTTTGCTGGAATCTGTTTTTTCTGTTTTATCTACTATTGTGTGCTTCATGGAGTGAAGCAACTTGAAGTGCCGCACTTCTGTGCAGCTACTCTGTAGCCACTGTGCAACTTTCACCTCCACTAAAGGCTATCAGGACTGTGAGTAAATCGGAGAGACTAATACGACCTTCATGTTGTCTTATGTAGTTACCTGTAGGTCTTCAATGCAGCATGTCAATTCTTTGAATCAGTTAAAAGTGAAGAAAATGAGGATAACAGACTTCAGTTCATCAAACAAAAGCAAATGAAAATCGATTTAAAATATAAGGAGAATAAGATCAAGATGAAATTCTCACACTTAGAGGTTGTGACTACGCATATCACCGATTTATTAATAAAAATTCAGAAAAATACTCTATTATTTCAACGTGATATCTATTGTATTCACTCACTGTTCAGTTAACTAATCAACACATCTAGTAGTATTATCACTACTTGTTTTTTGCGTTCCGAGTGGAATGTTTGGCTCCAAAGGAACGTCTCCACCATATCCACTTCTATTTCTACCCGTTGAAACTTGCTCCACAACAGGCTCTCCTTTCATCTTCATAAAGTCTTCTTAATTCCATTCTAGGACGCTTAACCAATGGCCAGTGAATCACGCTTCAGCCTTTTTATCGGTGGGTACTCAGCTTGACTTTCAATGAGCACACTACTACTGCTAAGGTTTTTTTTATTGTTGTTGCCGCTTGTTGCCCTTCCTGTTGTGAATATTTTTCCTTTTGCTGTTGTTCTGATTGTTTTATTTCTTGTTTTCCTGGTATTAAGGGGAGCAACTCATAAGGTAGCTTCTGTGTAAACGTCTGCACCATGTACGAGATTGGTGAAGTTTCCCAGATTGCAAATGAGATGAAAAGATACGGAATTCAAGTACTGGGAATATGTGAAAGAAGATGGAACGGAAATGGATTCACCAAGTCGTCAACGGGTAAGTCAGTGATCTACTTTGGTCACCCAGAAGACAACCACGTCCACACTGAGGGCGTGAGTATCATGATGTCACCGATGGCATCAAAAGCCCTGATGGGAGGCCCAATAGGAGGTGATCTCGCCCAGGATAATGACCATCAGATTCAACTTGAAAGGAGGGATATTATCGGTTAGGCAAGAATGGAGAACACTTCAGCTGGTGACATTAAAATACTAATGGGTGACATGAACGGCAAAGTGGGACCAGACAACGTAGGAAGGGAACTCACCATGGGTGGATAAGCTATCGGAGAAATGAATGAAAATGGAGAACTCTTCACCGACTTCTGAGCCCTCAATGAACTAGTGATTGGTGGCAACGTTTAAAAACACAGAGATATCCATAAGGCTACATGGGTGTCACCAGATGGACGAACCAAAAATCAAATTAAGGTCATCTCAATCTCAAAAGTAAGAAGAGGACCAGACGTTGGCTAAGACCACTAAACTTAAAAATAACAATTTTTACTGAGCTAGTATAAATGACACAAATACATGAAACGTCGACTAACAATTAACGCATGACTGATCTTCTTCAATGTTTTTTAACATATCACAGATCACATTTGTATTCAAAACAAAAATATTTCAGCGAAATGGAAATGACATTCCATTTTTCTATAAACATTTCCAACTTAAATCTACTCTTACTCTATGCCCAGGTAAAAAGGATCATTTAGGGAGAGAGAGAGAGACAGACAGACGGAGAACAATCGGAGAAAAATGCACCCGATTCAAAAAAAAATATTTATTAATGGAAATCAGTGGAATGTGTACAAAAACTTCTTTTAATTTCCTTTTTCTGCTTCTTTAGACTGAAAATGTCATAAATGCGAAGTTGTTGGTGTTTTCTCTCTCCCTCTTCAATATCGTCAAGATAAAAATTACTGGAAAATCCCCGACTAAAAGAAGTAAACGCTATTAAATTAAACTTTTATCCGATAAAAGTCTTATGGATGTATGATATTTTATGTGCATAGAGTGTGCTTTCTGGAAATCATGTGAAATGTAAGAGGCTAATGCAATGAAGGATTGTGATTTTTCCCTTGATACATATAACCACAGAATTGTAGTCGTATATACAAATATGAATATGTACAAATAGCAAATTTACGCATCGTCATCATAAAAAGATGATTGGAATGGCAGTCCAAGCACTCTGCATCTCAAATTCATCTACTTCGAAAGGAGCTTCGACATACAGCATTGACCATAAAAGTAATTTGGAAACTACCTCAACACTACGGCGTGCAGTGTTCAAATCTTTATTATCCTCAGTCAACAGCTGACTATATGACAATGCCACGTGTCAGGTGATACACAAGAGAAAACTGAGCGAGGCGTTTAAAGTACATACAGGAGTAGGACAAGCTGACTGCCTGTTATCATCAATGAGACTCTTAAATGTGGTGAACTGGATTATGCGTCAGATTGTACATATGAAATGAGAAGACACGAATACTTTGAACCAATAAGAAGATTCTAGAAGATCTGGATTTTGCGGCGAATGATTAATGTCTAATGTGACGCAGACTTGAAGACTTGTAGGTGAAAACTAGAGAACTGCTTGAAAAAAACAGGCAGCTAGGACAGGACTACAGGTGAAAAATAGAAAAGATGGAGGTAATAAAGATAACCAACCGACATTAACAACTTCTAACCCTGGTCACCACCAACGGAAGAGATTTGACAAAGGTTAACTCTTTCACTTATCTAGGAAGCGTCGTTGAAACCACAGACCAGCGAAATTGATGCAGATGGAAAAATTAGTCAGCCGGAATCAAAAAGGTAAGATAGGTCTTCGTCAGCCTGAAACCAGTCTAGACATATTTTGCGCTAACTCACAATAAAGAGCAATATTCGTATTTTCAACAGAAATCTGAAGTCAGTCAGTTCTTCTATACGTGTCTGACACTTAAACTGCGTGTCACGAAAAGGATTCTCAGAAACTGCCCCCTTCAAGTGGCCAGCCGTTCAGAAAGAATCAGCAACAAGAAACTCTGCAAGGGAATAATAATAATAACAGCTTTATTCCAAACGGTATTTGTGGTACAGGTATGTAATTTTCAGCATGCATTACAGTATGTTGCATCTAATTACCTCATAAATTATATAAGATTTTTAAAATTCAGAGATAAATAAATAAAATAATAAAATAAAATAAATAAGTTATAAATAAATAAAATAAATAAATATTAAAAATTACGAAAAAAACAGCGTAGAGTATTAGATTTCAAACAATGCAACACAGGATTTGAAATATAAAGTTGATGTGTGATAGAAGATGAGAACAACAGTGTAATAGTAACGAGGAAAGGAAAACAAAAACTAATGAGACTATTTGTTAGAGTGCTGCAGTAACTTTATCGTGTCATACCTAACGGATTTCTCATCACATAACAGCTGTGCCAGATATGGTATTGTGGAGTTTTTGTATTTGGTAGTCCTAGCATATAGCCAGCCTCCTATAGCTGCTTCTAGTTCTACCAAATGAAATGCAACGAGACAGCTGTGTATAGAGAGGATGCTCGGGGTCTGACAATATTGTATTCGCTAGTCTCTTACATGACATAATATGTCTATCTACAATAGTGTTCACCAGTTGGTTTAACGATATCCCACTTGCCCTACTAACAGCTTTTAGTGCCCTTCTCAGCGAAGCAAAGTCTTTCTTAAGTAGTCCAGGAAAGATTACTGGGGAGCAGTAAAAGAGGATGGGTAGAATACACGAATTTACAAACTGAGAAAGTAAAGATTGCTTTATGCCAGACTGCCTAAATTTCCTAATGTAGAACGTTAAGCGAAACATCTTTCTAGTAACTAGCAAGATGTGGGAAGACCAGGAAAGATCGGTGGAAAAACTCAGCCCAAGGTACTTAACATAAGATGTATTTTCAACCTCTGTGCCGTCATTGAGAGTGGGGCCATGTGAGCCAACTAGTTGCTGTAGGTCACAACAAGCAAGAGTCGACTACTCAACAAATATGTAGTAGGAAATGGAGATGGATCGCACGTGATTTG